CTCTTTGTTCTGGCTGACAAATACTCATTATGTAGGATTAAATTGCCATTAGAGGATTGATCCAGATATTGCAGTACCTCACTTTACTCTCAAATGTAGTTTTTAGGCCAGTTTCTTTCAGCACAGATTTAAATAGACAAAGATAGACTAATTACATAGTCAAATAACGTGAGGCATTCTCAACAGTACAAGGACGAACGGGATCCAAAATTAATCTCTTAATCCTGTCGGGACACATGGAAGCTTTTGTTCTGTATTCTAGATAAATCCCTTTTCAGTATCCATAGTGCTTATGTTATGATCATGCAGGAAAACATTTGTTGATAGAAATTGATCTTAACTGTGAATTGACCTCAAAAATAAGACCAAATTAAATCCAAATTAAGTACATTGTATCTACTTAAAGTTTATAAAGCATTTATTTAACCTTTGAAAAACATTTTTTTGAATCTTATTCTGGTTTTTATATTTGTATTCAGTGTGAAGCTTTGTTTGCTGCCTCCTGTTCCTGGACCAAAAATCAAAGGATTCGAAAAACAATTGCTGAAGGTAATAGAAAGATCACTCATAAATCTCGTGTCCAAATCAAATGTAAAAAAAATTCAGTTTAGCTTTCAGGTAGACTCCATAATTGCAACATTTTTGGTGGTTTTTATCAGCACGGTAAATGGGATCTTAGCATTTGTTTGTTTTTTGCACCTTCTTACAGCTGATGGCACGCACGTTTGAATGCTATTAAGTATTGTTTTATCCAACCATTGCAAGTTAATTTAAGTCGTCACATTTATTTTTATTTATACAATACAGACTGCATCAAAGCAGCTTCACAGTATAGACAGGACACCCCTGCCTTATGGGATAATTCACCCACAAATTAAAATTCTCTCATCATTTACTCACCCTCAGGTTTTGCCAAACCTGTACGAGTTTCTTTCTTCTGTTGAACACAAAAGAAGGTATTTTGAAGAATATTGGTAACCAAACAGTTGCTGGTAGCCATTGCCTTCCATAGTACTGAAAGAATAGCATTCTTCAAACATTCATCAAAATATCTTCTTTTGTGTTCAGTAGAAGAAAGAAACTCGTACAGGTTTGGAACAACTTGAGGGTGAGTAAACGATGACAATTTTAACTTTGGGTGAACTATTCCTTTAAAATGTCTCACAAGTTCATTATTTGTGAGGCATGTGCTCAGGATATAAAGGTTTTGATATCGTCCTTCATGCCACATTTTTAATTGCATTTTTGAGGCAGTTTTCTCACTTGCTTTACTTTTACAGAGCGGAAAGTCAGAGGAAGTTTTCAATACTTTGGTGATCCAAGGTTTCCCTCCAACCACCGATTACGACGAGTTACTGGTGGAGTACCTTGAGGTGTATGACAATGAGGAGCAAGAGTTGGTACTGGATGGTAAAGATCTATCGGAGAGGCCACTCAAACTCTCCTCCTCACTGTGCATTAGGACAATATAGACACCCATCCTCTTCCAGGCAGATTTTAACATCTTTAATCGATTGGAACTGCTTAATTATTGCCCTGATGGTGGAAATGGGGATTTTCAATGCTTTAGCTCTTTTCATAAAGCCACGTTCTATTTTGTGAAGCTCAACAATCTGCACATCAGAACTATATTCTTTGGTTTTACTCCTTGTGAAGGATGATTAAGGGAATTTGGCCTTTGTGTTCCTCATACAGTATTTATAATCCTGTGGAACAGGAAGTCATGGCTGGACAATTTCATGCTCCTAGTCACCCTGGTGTGCTAAAAATTTTAAATATTAGTGGGAATATAAGAATTTCTAGAGGTGCCAATAATTGTGGCCAACATGCATTGGAGATAATGTGAGTTTCCCCCCACTTTCTATTGCTATACTTCAATGAAAGGTTAGAATTTTGTGTATTTTTTTAAATTTCAATAAGATAAACGATGCAGATTTATTTTCACAGCCGCCTTTGTTCATATTTACCAAGGGTGCCAGTATTAGTGGAGGGCACTGAATATCATCTTATACCATCACTGGCAAATGTAAAGTTCATGCCTCTTAGTTTGATCAAAACCAAATTGGCTTGGACCAGTTATATACATCATTTGCCTCTTTGTTCTGGCTGACAAATACTCATTATGTAGGATTAAATTGCCATTAGAGGATTGATCCAGATATTGCAGTACCTCACTTTACTCTCAAATGTAGTTTTTAGGCCAGTTTCTTTCAGCACAGATTTAAATAGACAAAGATAGACTAATTACATAGTCAAATAACGTGAGGCATTCTCAACAGTACAAGGACGAACGGGATCCAAAATTAATCTCTTAATCCTGTCGGGACACATGGAAGCTTTTGTTCTGTATTCTAGATAAATCCCTTTTCAGTATCCATAGTGCTTATGTTATGATCATGCAGGAAAACATTTGTTGATAGAAATTGATCTTAACTGTGAATTGACCTCAAAAATAAGACCAAAAGACCAAATAATTAAGTACATTGTATCTACTTAAAGTTTATAAAGCATTTATTTAACCTTTGAAAAACAATTTTTTGAATTTTTGAATCGTTTTTATATTTGTATTCAGTGTGAAGCTTTGTTTGCTGCCTCCTGTTCCTGGACCAAAAATCAAAGGATTCGAAAAACAATTGCTGAAGGTAATAGAAAGATCACTCATAAATCTCGTGTCCAAATCAAATGTAAAAAAAATTCAGTTTAGCTTTCAGGTAGACTCCATAATTGCAACATTTTTGGTGGTTTTTATCAGCACGGTAAATGGGATCTTAGCATTTGTTTGTTTTTTGCACCTTCTTACAGCTGATGGCACGCACGTTTGAATGCTATTAAGTATTGTTTTATCCAACCATTGCAAGTTAATTTAAGTCGTCACATTTATTTTTATTTATACAATACAGACTGCATCAAAGCAGCTTCACAGTATAGACAGGACACCCCTGCCTTATGGGATAATTCACCCACAAATTAAAATTCTCTCATCATTTACTCACCCTCAGGTTTTGCCAAACCTGTACGAGTTTCTTTCTTCTGTTGAACACAAAAGAAGGTATTTTGAAGAATATTGGTAACCAAACAGTTGCTGGTAGCCATTGCCTTCCATAGTACTGAAAGAATAGCATTCTTCAAACATTCATCAAAATATCTTCTTTTGTGTTCAGTAGAAGAAAGAAACTCGTACAGGTTTGGAACAACTTGAGGGTGAGTAAACGATGACAATTTTAACTTTGGGTGAACTATTCCTTTAAAATGTCTCACAAGTTCATTATTTGTGAGGCATGTGCTCAGGATATAAAGGTTTTGATATCGTCCTTCATGCCACATTTTTAATTGCATTTTTGAGGCAGTTTTCTCACTTGCTTTACTTTTACAGAGCGGAAAGTCAGAGGAAGTTTTCAATACTTTGGTGATCCAAGGTTTCCCTCCAACCACCGATTACGACGAGTTACTGGTGGAGTACCTTGAGGTGTATGACAATGAGGAGCAAGAGTTGGTACTGGATGGTAAAGATCTATCAGAGGACTGCATGAAGTCCAAAAGTCCGTCGGACAGTGACTCGGGCCGGGGAAGCTGCGACAGTCGCACTCTGCTTTTGGAGAAGTGCATGGAGGGACGGGAAGGAAGTGGAAGTGGAAGTGGAAGTGATCAACATCAGTACAGCCAACATGGAGAAACGAGCTGGGCTTCTACTGAAAGCAGTGAAAGCCAGGGTCCCGAACCCGGTTCTCCAGAGTCCGCCGATGGACGCAGCAAAACCTGGCCCGTTGTTTTTTCGTCTCCTCAACCGCAAACTCACCATCATTACCAAGTGGGAGCTGCGAAACCGGCCTACCACAGCGTCCCAGAGATCCTCAACCATTCGTCACCACACACGACGCCAAGCAACTATCACCAGCTACACCATCAGGACATCCCGCAACAGGAGGGTCGCTTCAGTAAACCAGCCTGCCGACATTCTCAAAGCTACAACCAGTTTAACCTGGACGGCGTCGGCACTCCTGCTCCCGGCGTGCCTCCGTCACCTTCTTTGGAATACGTAGAGGTGCAAAGGGTCAACCCGGAGAATATGCTTCTGCTTTGGCCGCTTTCAGACCCAAACCGCGAACTTGAGGGGTTAGATTGTGCCGGGGAGGACTACAGTAAGGTCAAAGAAGTGACGAACAATATTTTGCTTCTGCAGAGGGATACGTCCCATCAGTGCGTGGACTATTACAGCCAGGACTTGGACAACCAGGCTGATCAATGCACAACCCAGCAACCACCTCACCCCTGCAAACCTGCTGTCCACCAATCAAACAGTAGGATGCCACATGAAGGCATGAGGGTGATGGGAAATGGTTATGTAGATTCAACAGTCTTAATGCCATCCTACTAGCACATAGTGGCCCAATGCATGAATGCAGCAAAATCAATAAGCCAACCATTAAACTGTCAACAGCTCTTTAAATATTAGTGGGAATATAAGAATTTCTAGAGGTGCCAATAATTGTGGCCAACATGCATTGGAGATAATGTGAGTTTCCCCCCACTTTCTATTGCTATACTTCAATGAAAGGTTAGAATTTTGTGTATTTTTTTAAATTTCAATAAGATAAACGATGCAGATTTATTTTCACAGCCGCCTTTGTTCATATTTACCAAGGGTGCCAGTATTAGTGGAGGGCACTGAATATCATCTTATACCATCACTGGCAAATGTAAAGTTCATGCCTCTTAGTTTGATCAAAACCAAATTGGCTTGGACCAGTTATATACATCATTTGCCTCTTTGTTCTGGCTGACAAATACTCATTATGTAGGATTAAATTGCCATTAGAGGATTGATCCAGATATTGCAGTACCTCACTTTACTCTCAAATGTAGTTTTTAGGCCAGTTTCTTTCAGCACAGATTTAAATAGACAAAGATAGACTAATTACATAGTCAAATAACGTGAGGCATTCTCAACAGTACAAGGACGAACGGGATCCAAAATTAATCTCTTAATCCTGTCGGGACACATGGAAGCTTTTGTTCTGTATTCTAGATAAATCCCTTTTCAGTATCCATAGTGCTTATGTTATGATCATGCAGGAAAACATTTGTTGATAGAAATTGATCTTAACTGTGAATTGACCTCAAAAATAAGACCAAATTAAATCCAAATTAAGTACATTGTATCTACTTAAAGTTTATAAAGCATTTATTTAACCTTTGAAAAACATTTTTTTGAATCTTATTCTGGTTTTTATATTTGTATTCAGTGTGAAGCTTTGTTTGCTGCCTCCTGTTCCTGGACCAAAAATCAAAGGATTCGAAAAACAATTGCTGAAGGTAATAGAAAGATCACTCATAAATCTCGTGTCCAAATCAAATGTAAAAAAAATTCAGTTTAGCTTTCAGGTAGACTCCATAATTGCAACATTTTTGGTGGTTTTTATCAGCACGGTAAATGGGATCTTAGCATTTGTTTGTTTTTTGCACCTTCTTACAGCTGATGGCACGCACGTTTGAATGCTATTAAGTATTGTTTTATCCAACCATTGCAAGTTAATTTAAGTCGTCACATTTATTTTTATTTATACAATACAGACTGCATCAAAGCAGCTTCACAGTATAGACAGGACACCCCTGCCTTATGGGATAATTCACCCACAAATTAAAATTCTCTCATCATTTACTCACCCTCAGGTTTTGCCAAACCTGTACGAGTTTCTTTCTTCTGTTGAACACAAAAGAAGGTATTTTGAAGAATATTGGTAACCAAACAGTTGCTGGTAGCCATTGCCTTCCATAGTACTGAAAGAATAGCATTCTTCAAACATTCATCAAAATATCTTCTTTTGTGTTCAGTAGAAGAAAGAAACTCGTACAGGTTTGGAACAACTTGAGGGTGAGTAAACGATGACAATTTTAACTTTGGGTGAACTATTCCTTTAAAATGTCTCACAAGTTCATTATTTGTGAGGCATGTGCTCAGGATATAAAGGTTTTGATATCGTCCTTCATGCCACATTTTTAATTGCATTTTTGAGGCAGTTTTCTCACTTGCTTTACTTTTACAGAGCGGAAAGTCAGAGGAAGTTTTCAATACTTTGGTGATCCAAGGTTTCCCTCCAACCACCGATTACGACGAGTTACTGGTGGAGTACCTTGAGGTGTATGACAATGAGGAGCAAGAGTTGGTACTGGATGGTAAAGATCTATCAGAGGACTGCATGAAGTCCAAAAGTCCGTCGGACAGTGACTCGGGCCGGGGAAGCTGCGACAGTCGCACTCTGCTTTTGGAGAAGTGCATGGAGGGACGGGAAGGAAGTGGAAGTGGAAGTGGAAGTGATCAACATCAGTACAGCCAACATGGAGAAACGAGCTGGGCTTCTACTGAAAGCAGTGAAAGCCAGGGTCCCGAACCCGGTTCTCCAGAGTCCGCCGATGGACGCAGCAAAACCTGGCCCGTTGTTTTTTCGTCTCCTCAACCGCAAACTCACCATCATTACCAAGTGGGAGCTGCGAAACCGGCCTACCACAGCGTCCCAGAGATCCTCAACCATTCGTCACCACACACGACGCCAAGCAACTATCACCAGCTACACCATCAGGACATCCCGCAACAGGAGGGTCGCTTCAGTAAACCAGCCTGCCGACATTCTCAAAGCTACAACCAGTTTAACCTGGACGGCGTCGGCACTCCTGCTCCCGGCGTGCCTCCGTCACCTTCTTTGGAATACGTAGAGGTGCAAAGGGTCAACCCGGAGAATATGCTTCTGCTTTGGCCGCTTTCAGACCCAAACCGCGAACTTGAGGGGTTAGATTGTGCCGGGGAGGACTACAGTAAGGTCAAAGAAGTGACGAACAATATTTTGCTTCTGCAGAGGGATACGTCCCATCAGTGCGTGGACTATTACAGCCAGGACTTGGACAACCAGGCTGATCAATGCACAACCCAGCAACCACCTCACCCCTGCAAACCTGCTGTCCACCAATCAAACAGTAGGATGCCACATGAAGGCATGAGGGTGATGGGAAATGGTTATGTAGATTCAACAGTCTTAATGCCATCCTACTAGCACATAGTGGCCCAATGCATGAATGCAGCAAAATCAATAAGCCAACCATTAAACTGTCAACAGCTCATGCCAAGCCCTGAAAGAAGTGCTTTTCTCTACAGTGTTTTTTTTCAGTGGATTTATATTTATAAAAATATTTACTTATTATTAGATTGTATTAGATGTAAGGGTCTTGTTTCAGAGCCGAGGTCTGAACTTTTATGTAAGCACTGTAAAGAGGCTGGACTCTTGAAAATAAATGTTCTTTGTTGGCTTTGAAGGTTCCATGAAGAACAAAGGGTCTTTATAGTGGAAAAAGCTTCTTTAGATTATTAAAATGTTCTTCTGCTGCAATGCTCTTTGGGGAACCTAAAAATGGTTCTTCCATAGTGTTGCTGTGAAAACCACTCTTTTGGAACCTTTATTTTTAAGAGTATGAGAAGTCATTGATTTAGTTTCTTTGACAGATTGTGTACTTTGATGAGGTGACACTTATAAACACCAAAAAAAAACATTTCTCTTTACACTTAAGTCTTTAAAGTTAACATGAAACTGAAATGGATCCCAATACACATTTCAGAAAATTCACTTAAATTCTGCTGTGCCTCTGATACAATTTTTCCTTTTGATTGTATGTTAGTCAATAGCCAAATAGCCATTTAGGCATTGTGTTTTCATTGGAAATTTCATGGAAAGCCTACTTTTCATTATCCAGCAATTGCCAGTGGAATTCTCCTACTGTATAATTTAATGCTGTTTTACTGAGAAATAGTGTACATGGTATTTTGGAAGTAAAATGGGTTATGAATGCCATTTCATGTTAACTTTTAATGATTTGTCGTATTTAGAGATTCATGGGATTTGAAAACTTAGCACTTAGCATAGTTGCCCTCAACTATCCACAATGCATTGTTTTATATTGCATTTTGCATCATGGCATTGTTACGTGTTCAAAGCCACTATGTTGTTTTATGCCACTGTTCACTCCTAAACTACATGATGGGGTCTGTTGCTATAGTGGACATGGACTATTTTTTTATGAACTGATCTTGTGTATTATCAAAGCGTTCACCCAATTTCACTTCACATTTAAATGAATTATAAATATTATTTTTTTAGTTTTTAGTTTTAAGGAAATTACTTAAAACTCCATCTGCATATTATATAAACACAAGAGCATTATTTGCAGTCAGAGTCGGTTGCATTCCAAATTTCAAATTGCATTCCATTCTGGAAAAATGTTATAATCTCAGCCATAAAATTTAAAATGTCTTTGCTTATCAATGGTACACTAATGCAAAAAAAAAAAGGGATTTGAACTGATTGTAAACAAACGTAAAGAATTTGCCTTTGATATTTACAACTCTCAGGTGGAGGAAAACTTGTTTAAACACTCCTGCCGAATGTATGTATTACTGTAAGATTTTGTATGTTTCTGTGAATGTTAACCCTGCAAGAATCTATTTTTCCAAGTCTGTATACCCTCAAATCGTAGGTAGCCATTGATTCAGCACTGCACATTTGTTTTGATATTAAAAAGGAAATGATAAAGTATATTTTTTAAAATGATAGAGATTGGCATATATGCATTCAATCCAACCAAACAGTTATCTTGTTCATGTACAAATCACTAACCATTAAACCAGTTACATGGAGACAAGGAACATTTTTAGCTTTTGCCAGTGCAAGAGTCAACCTTCACACGTTGCCTTATTTTATGCATAAATCTCTGAAAGCAGACTGAGGTGTATTTTTTTGAAAGGGTCATTTACTAAATATATATTTATGCCTAAAGTTATATTACACATACGTGTACATATAAAATAATTATTCAATAGTTATATATAATATGTAGAAATGCATTTATATGTAACCTACAGATAATTTATATACCAATAAATAGCTTTTAGGTTTGCCTAAGCCATACATAAATCATCCCATCTAATTTTGTTGATTTGTGAGTAGCATAACATTTTCTTATATCTTTATTGTTTACCAGTCATACATTCTCAGTTTCATGCATTATAAATATGCATGGAAAAGCATAATTTCTTTTAATAATAGATTTCTAACTCAGGCAATGGAAAATCTATAAAACGCATGTTTGTAACAGTATCTAATTTAATATGGGGCAACAGTGTGAAAAAATATTTCAGTCTTTTTATCTGAGAGTAAGATATCTTACAGTAAAGAAAATGCATATGCAGAAATCTCCAGGATGATTATATTCTCATTTAGGGATTAACTGAAATCATGTTTTGATTTCATTCTACCAAACCCAAAACCATTTCTTAACTAAAATAATTATTTAAATGAAAATGTGTTATACAGTAAGAAAACTCTGTCTTGTTGAAATGATGTCGCTATTTTCTTTACTGTCTATTTTTCTTTACTGTCAAGACACTGGAGTTGCTGAAATTAAATTTGTGATGTTAAGTTTGTTAACCTATGTAAGAAATACATCTTGTTTAATACATCCTTACTGTGTTCTGCTATTCCATAACAAACTTTATTTGTGAATTCACATAGCAAAACCATTAAAACATATGCTCAGATTGTTTCAAATGTGTTGGGAGTGGTTATTTTGAGAATGGCTTTTTATTCTGCTGTAAAACATTTAACCAAAAACATGATATTATGATCTTAATATTAATTTTTTTCCTGCTAATTTGTCACAAAACAAATCATGTATACTTTATCTCCAGAGTTTTGTAAGTGATTGCTTGACTATTTCACATTATCATCGTTTATAAAATCAAATTCATATTTTAAGATTTAAAAAAAATAAAATCAAGGCCTGGTACAATGGTAAAGCAATTAAAAATTAGAAAAATAAAAATGTAAAAGTGTGTGTGTGGGGGGGATCATCTAGAAAAACGAAGCAGTATACAAAATAATACTGATACTACTAACATACTATACTAATAATATGATAAAGATGATGATGATATATAAAATGTATCCTATATCAACACTGCAAATCTTCTATGCCAATTAATCTATGTTTCCAGGAGGTTAGCGGGTCTCAGGGCAGGGCTTTCCTGCATCTTAAAAGATAAAAATATCCCTTTTGCATAAGAGCTGGCACATAACTGCCTCTATGGATTACTGAGCACTAAATGTATCTCTGCCCAGGTGTGCTTTGCCAAAAATCAGCAGTGAAACACACCCCACCTGTCCTGCCCCAGATCCCCCCATTTGACTTTAAACCTGAACCATATCAGGTAAGAGGTTTGGGCATTTATAATAATAATCATCAGAGAGAAATCAAATCATTTTTAAGAATGAATGAATCTCTCCTTTAGGGCATGTCTAAAGACTGTTTACTAGACATAAGGAAACACAACTGCAACCCCATGACTATGAAGGTAATGTACTACAAGAAGCCAGTCTTCATAAACCAGGGTTACATGCAGTGGCTGTGGGACGTGGATGGAAGACGCTATCTGGACTTGTTTGCGGGGATCGTCACTGTCAGTGTAGGACACTGTAACCCGTAAGGTTCAATTTGTTGCCATGCAACATTTGTGTTTATTTCATGACTGTGCAGTACAGTTAGCTTGAAATGAAATAAATGACTAAGCTGTAATTAGATGAATGCATATGGATTTGTTCAGGTGCCCTGAGCTCTTACATGGGCTGCTGTTTATTATTTTTGTTTACAAAATTGAATTATTTCTAAAAATTTAATTAGAAGTTTGAATATGGTTGCAGGAAAGTGACAGAGACGGCTGAGAAACAACATCTATGTGAATCCACAAATGCAGGAGTATGCAGAGAAACTAGCCTCCCTTTTGCCAGACCCACTGAAGGTACTGTATGATTGATGGAGCCACTGCCATTGCTGGAAGAGGAAGGTTGAGCGCATTGCATTATGGATATAGTATATTACACGCAGCAGACTCTTGCCTACTGTAGGGGCTTTCAAACTGGAGTCTGGGGGTGCTAAAAAAAATAACTAAAATATATAATGTATATAAAATAAAAAAAGTTTTGTTTATATACAGTATAATATGTCAAATATCAATTACTAAAAATTTAATATATACCTAATATATATATATATCACTAATATATAAAAAAACTAAATTATATATAAAAATAAAATCATAATTAAAATCCTAATCATAATAAATTAAGTATAAATATACAGAATTTGACAATTACATTTCATCGTGCCTTCTAATGTTGGAGTTCATAAGATTGTTACAAAAATAAGAGACAGTTACAGAAGATACAAAAAAGAAAATGATTTTAAATTCAATATTTTCCAATGAATTCACACACACACACACACACACACGTTTACTTAGCTATCTAAATGGGGACATTCCATAGGCGTAATGGTTTTTATACTGTACAGACCGTATATTTTATTGCCCTACACCAACCCTACCCCTAAACCTACCCCTCACAGGAAACTTTCTGCATTTTTACAATTTAAAAAAAATAACTTTGTTTACTTTAGTTTTATACCAGTTTTACAAATGAGGAGATTTAGGAGATTTTTTTTGGAGATTTTGTCAGGTTTAGCTCACTTTTGGGTACAAATGTGTCCCCAAAATATGGTTAAGT